AGGAATATATCAGTGACAGTGATGACTCTGATGATGACGACGATAAGCCTTTGAGACCTAAAGATAAATCCGAGAAGGAAGTGAAAAAAGAAGAGGTTGTCTTTAATTTTTTGTCTTCTCTTTCTCACATATACAATTTTTGTTTTAGTCATCTGAAGAGAATTCGGATCACAGTGACTAGCTGTGAACAATTTATTCTTTTTGTTCCCTGCGGATAATTTGAGGTTATATAACCCGCACTTTGTAATCTTATATATCTTGACAGAAAAAAAGGTGAAAATACGTGCTTAATAAATATTAGATCTCAATATATTAGATTGTAATTCCTTTAGTAGTTCCCCCATTGAGGGCTTTATTAGTGACTTTCAAGTGTAATATCCGCAGTTTCCCGTCACTTCCTGCAACTGCTAAGACGTTGCGATCCACAGGGTTGAACCTCAAAATCGAGAAATTATGAAAACAAATCATTCTGACAAATGTTGACGCAAATAAATTCGAACCGCAATCGCAGCACTGGTTGTTCCACAGCTATTGATGGAACGAAAAGTTTATGTATAAGGTCAAATTGCTGTTGCTCGTTAATCGAGAGAAAGAAAAGGGAGCCGTCTTGCAGTCCAGCCACAATTACCGAGTCACTAAATTATCTGTCATACCAGAAAAAAATCCTTTTGAAGAAACAACTTTGTTTGTGTTGCATACCTTGCAGCTACACTTGTAACTGGGTGAGGACATTTGTACCTGCTCAACATAATGGCAGCCGTATCGGTGCACTGCCAAAGAATAACCTAAAACAGTGCGTTAAGTTGTTGGCCTTTTTCTCCATGATATGTTAGTAATGGGATTAGACTGTGTTGGGAATAAAATAAATATACCTGCATATCTCTGGAGGCTGTGACAAAGTGCTGAGAATCGCCGAACCAATCACATGACCATATGATTCTCGAATGTTCTTTTCCAGAGGACCAAATCTTCTCGTAAGAAAAACCATTGACTAAAATATTGATGCTATGTCCCAAAATTGAATAGCAGGGTATCCAAATACCATCTCCGTTCCGTTCTCTGTACAGCATCGCTTTTCGATCTCTGCTTACGCTCAAAAGTAATTTACCATCTGGACTCCATTCAATTTGAGTGACTGTCAGTTGATGGCCTATAGTATTTTGATTTCAAAAAATCATAGATCAACAAGTAAGATTTAAATATGGCAATAGACTATAATATTCAAACCAAGAATTTCCTCTTTTTTGCTCCAATCTGATGTGTCCCACATAACGA